CCCTGACCTAATCAGGAATGTCCAGAGAGGCATGGTCACATGGCATAGCTCAAGATTACTCCCATAGAAGGAGCTGCCTGGACCATATTAACCCAGGTTTCCTGTATCATCACCATTGGTGTTCCTCTGATTAAAGCAGAGGGGAGCTTATTTGTAAGAGCACCAAGTTATAAACCTGAACCCCAGCTCTATGGTTTGAAGGGTTGGTGACTGTAGACAAGTTATTTCCTATCTGTGAGGTTCCATTTTCTTGTCTTCAAGATGGAGACACTAACCCCAGTTGAGACCAGTAGTGAAGACAAAATGAGACAGTGGATATAAAAGAATTTTGTGGTTGGTAAAGCCGTGTGAAAGTAAAGGGTTAACATTTGCAGTACTGTAAAACTTTCAGAAGACTTGAGTAATATTAATAATTAAATAGCTAACACTTCCTGAATGCTTCTGTTCTAAAAACATTGTGCATATTATTTTAATTAGTCATCATAATTACTCTATGGGGTACATACTATTATAGTTTCTATTTTCAGATGACAAATCTAATGTACACGGAGGTTAAGTAACTTGCCCAAGGTCACACAGCCAGTAAGTAAAGTTAGGCTCCAAAACCAGTACTCTGTTCTACCTAGGTCTCTAAGACTCTAACAAAGTTTCATGGTAACAAACAGTACAAAAATATAAATTAATCTATAAGGTAGAAAAATCAACTTCTTTTACTGTCCTAAGGAGGTAGTGATAACCTTAAGAACCTGATTTTTGTATGAGAAGAGAATCTACTTTATATACAGCGAATCTGGCCAAAGTTACGCCACTTGCTGGTTTAAATGATTACTTTCATTTATTTTTTTGTTTTCACATTTATAGTAGGTGGGTCTCCTCACTCTGTCAGAAATACTTATAGGTGTTAGTGAACACTGGTGGGTGAGTTTCTGGATTAAAGAAGTGCTATGCCAACAAATTAAATCTTTTGATCTTTTGTAAAGAAAATAGCTCTATAATTGTTAACTCTTTTTGTTAAGAAACTCAGTTCCCTTCAACCATAAGCAATCATATGGTTGAAGTGATAATAACCCATACAAACATTGATTTTTCTGAATTCCACAGTTTTCTAATTTTCCTAGTTAATATCTTGATGTATACATATAGATTTTCTGAAAATAACATAGAAATATTCTACTACTCCAAACTGGTTCCAGAATTATTATGCAGCTTTTTATAAATGAAAGGGTAGATGGACAATTATTTTGTTCTTTTTACATTTATTTATTCATTTAAAAATTAAAATATATTTCATATTAATACATAGTTATGTTTAAGTTAAGGGATCTAAATACTTCTCATGATTCTCACTGTCCATGAAGACCGAGTACAAAAGTGGTAAGAAAACACTGGTGAATAGTAATTCACTACTACTGTATTGTTATTGTTTTAATAGCTAACAATCATCACAGGTTTACTATGTTTTAGGCACTGTTTTAAATTTTTTTGTGTGTAATTCTTTTAATCTGCACTGCTTTAAATCATTGGTGTAACAGAGATTACTAGTTTCCCCACCAATTTCTGTTCTCCCATCTTGCTATAGTGATAAAGTTTTAGCAAGGCATGTGGCATCTCTTGAAACTAAATGTGGCCATTGACTAGGTTCTGGTCAATGGGATTGTGAGTGGGAATGATGTGGGAACTTCTGGTTCATCCTTCTAAAGGAAATGAAGACATTCCCTTTTTTCTTATCCTCTTCTGCTGGCTAGAATGCAGATATCCTGGTGGGAGCTGAAGTAGCCATCATGGTTCAGGAGATGGAAGCCACCTTTTGAGAAAGCAGAAGAAAAAAAGACACAAGAAGTCAAACTCCACAGAATCATGGTGCCACCTTACCAGCCCTGGACTCCTATATTGAGGGGAAGCAAACTTCAATTCATTTAAGTGGCTCTAATTTTTGTTCTTATTATTATACAGCCAAACCACTACTGTAACTACTGAAGTTGATGTCATCATTATTCTCATTTTAAAGATGGATAAACTGAGACACACAGAAATTAAGTGGCAGAGCCAGGTTTGAACTAGAGAATCTGGCTCCAGAGTCTTCCCTGTTAACCACAGCCCTCTATTTTTCTGATAAAATGCCATGCACACTTGTGTTTAATTAATTTTAACACGTGATTTTCTGCCATTTGTGACTTAGGGATGGGAAAGTCAGAAGGTTTTTTTGTTTGTTTTTGTTTTTTATGCCTTTCTGCATTTTGTATCAGTGATCAGGTTGAAATCAATATGGATGTGTCTAGATTCATTCAGGTAAGGATGGTGAGGCTGATAATGGAACCAGAAACAGGGTGGCACAAGTGATGATGTGCAGAAGATAAGGATGGGGAGGTAATGAAATTAAGATGAGAATGTGACTAAAGAGGGCCAATTTCTGCACGGCTGATAAGGAAAGCAAATAAGTGTGTGATAAAGCATAAGGAGATAAAGTAAGTATTTTCACATCACTGACAGATATGACCCCATGTCAGGTGCAATCAAGATTGCCTGGCATCTTGCAATTGGTCCTTCTAGCCAGCAGGTTCCCTGGGACAACAATGATCCTGCAGCCTAAAGGAACATGTAATGTTCTGGAAACTTGAGTTTCAGTGTGACCCTCTCCACAGCAATCTTTTCAGCTTTAGGCCTTCCTGGGAAACCTCAGAGCAGCGTTTCCTGCAGCTTCATTAAAGATACTGTTTCACTCACCTGTCTGTCCTGGCTTCTCCTTCTGTCAGCTTTTTGGCAGCAAAGGCAGGATAACCCTTGGTATTAGAAAGGTATGATGCTTAAAATTAGAAGACTCTAAAATCATCTCAAATTGACTCCTCACTTTTCATATAGGTTGACCTAAATTTCATGTGAGAACAGAGATTCTTCCTCTTCTCACATAATTTTTGAGCATGTTCTTCACTTTTCTCTATTTCATTTTCCTTAGGTGTGAACAAAAGACTTGAACTAAGTGAGTGCTGAGGGCATTTACAGGAATAGCCTTCCATGGTTTGCCCTTCTTCATAGCTTTGAATTTCCAAACCACTGAAAAAGAAGTCACAAACCATGCATTTTCTTTAATACATCCTTACTTTTCACTGCCTCAGTCACTTAGATAATGGGAAGTTTTGTGTGTTCATGCCTTTGTCTAAGAAATCATGAAAGAGGAAGTGTTTCATTAGGAAAGGTGGCTTGTATTTACTTACACTATGATTAAGGCAAAAAGACAATTCCATCTTTAGGAAAGTGGAGTTGTTCCAGGGAGAACAATGAGAAGATGCATCTGGACTCCACATTTCTGCCCTCTAGGCTTGCTCTCTCATTGAAAGGAGGATTTCCTAACTTCTAACTTCATAAACATTGCTCTAGGAGAGAAGTAGTGATGACCCTCACTGACAAAGAAGGCAATGCAACTCAGAATATGCTTGATGCAAATCATCATCAAGTTGATAGTGCTTTTTACACTTGGCAAAGTGTTCTCACAATACAAGGCCCCCTGCCCAATGTGGACAAAACACAATGAATAAAATATGATCCCTGCTTAGAAGGGGCCTATAATCCAGGGTAGAAAATAGACAAGTGCATAAATAATTCTAACTCAAGACAGACCCCCCATTTATGCTTTATTAGAGGTACAAAGAAAATAATAGCAGAACAGCAGAGGGAAAGGTTACTTCCCATAGAGTTACAAATGAAGGATTCTTAAAAAAAGTGAGAACTTGTCAAGGCTATTGCTAATAGCAAACATAATTGGTTACTTTGCCTATTTCTTTAATTTCTTTCAATTTTTATGATAACCCAAACGAGGAAGTACAACAGGAAGAAAAAATTTGAAAATGCAGGAAATTTACTGTCTTATGTAGACAAGACATTCTCTGGGGTGAATAGCAGCATCAACCCGTTCTACCTAAGGTTAATGCTGCTATTCACCCCAGAGAAAACCGCAGAGTTGTCTGTGTGAGAAGCATCTAGATTATAGAGCACTTCCTATAATTGGAGAGTGTGCCTGATGACTTTTGATTTGTGGGTACATAGAGTAAATTTTATGCATGCTTCAATCTATATTTTAAGTTTGACCATACCTAACATGCCTATCAATAGTAGTCATTTTAGTATAATGAGAATATGTGATTTTTTTCCTTTTATTTATTTTCCAAATACGATTTAAGGGTATGCCTTTAATAGAGATAGAAAATAATAAAAAGAAATAAGAATAGTGACAGAGTAAAAGCAAGAGAGTGAGACATGAAGATGTTTTTCATATATAGGTTTCTTACATTTCATTTTTTTGTGTGACTGAATGTATTGCAGTTCTTATCTTGATCCTTGAGAGTGCATATTGTTGTTAGTAGACACTGTCAGCTGGTGAAAAGGGCACAGATCCGGAGACTTAGGGAGCTTAGGTTTTAAACCTGGCTCTCTTGCAAAAAGAAAAAAGAAACAAAAAAATCTTTTGGTAATATGCGGTTATGTGTATCCCTCCATCTTTCTTCTTCACTATAGTTCTGTGTTTTTTTGAGATGGAGTCTCACTCTGTTGCCAGCCTGGAGTGCAGTGATGCGATCTCGGCTCACTGCAACCTCTGCCTCCCAGGTTCAAGCGGTTCTCCTGCCTCTCACCTGGAGTAGCTGGGACTACAGGCGCGGGCCACTATGCCCAGCTAATTTTCATATTTTTAGTAGAGACGGGGTTTCACCATGTTGGCCAGGATGGTCTGGATCCCTTGACTTCGCGATCCGCCCACCTTGGCCTCCCAAAGTGCTGGGATTACAGGCGTAAGCCACCGCGCCCGACCAGTTCTGTGATGTTAATAAGCCTTTTAACCTCAGCCTCAGGTAGCTCTTCTGTTGAGCGGTCATTTCCCTCATCAAGTGATTGTACAACATTGATAAACATATAATCTGTTATTTATTTTAGCTATTTAAAAAATATTTTTAGGCTCCTCCCGCGAATCGCAGCCCCTGGGACTTGCTCCATCTGTGCTCCGCCTCGCGATGACTTCCTACAGCTATCTCCAGTCGTCCGCAACCTCGTCCTTCCAGGATCTGCGCGGCGGCTCCGTACATTTTCGGGCTGCGCGTAGCGTTTCGCGCGTTCAGCATGCACCGGGAGTTCCAGCGGCCGCGACGTGTCTGTGTCCTCCGCCGGCTTCGTGTCCTCGTCCTCCTCGGGGGGCTACGGCGGCGTCCTGGCCGCGTCTAACGGGCTGCTGGCGGGCAAGGAGCTCACCAGGCAGAACCTCAAGGACCGCCTGGCCGCCTATCTGTACAAGGTGCGCGCCCTGGCGGCAGCCAACGGCGAACTGGAGGTGAAGATCCGCAACTTGTACCCGAAGCAGGGGCCCGGGCCCTCCCGCGGCTACAACCACTACTACAAGACCATCCAGGACTTGCCACCATTGAGAACTCCAGGATTGTCCTGCAGATCGACAGCGCCCGTCTAGCTGCAGATGACTTGCGAAACAAGTTGGAGAAGGAGTAGGCTCTGTACATGAGCGTGGAGGTCGACATCAATGGCATGCGCAGGGTGCTGGACGAACTGACCCTGGCCACGACAGACCTGGAAATGCAGATTGAAGGCCTGAAGGAATAGCTGGCCTACCTGTAGAAGAACCGTGAGGAGGAAATGAGTGCGCTGAGGGGTCAAGGGGGAGGCCAGGTCAGTGTGGAGGTGGATTCGGCTCCGGACACCGATCTCACCAAAATCCTGAGTGACATGCGAAGCCAATACGAAGTCATGGCCGAGAAGAACTGGAAGGATGCTGAAGCCTGGTTCACCAGCCGGACTGAATAATCGCTGGTCACATGGAGCAGCTCCAGATGAGCAGGTCTGAGGTCGCTGACCTGTGGCGCTCTCTCCAGGGTCTTGAGATGGAGCTGCAGTCACAGCTGGGCATGAAAGCCGCCTTGGAAGGCACACTGGCAGAAACTGAGTCTCCCTTTGGAGCCCAATTAGTGCAGATCCAGGCGCTGATCATTGGTAATGAAGCCCAGCTGGGCGATGTTCGAGCGGCAGAATCAGGAGTACCAGCGGCTCATGGACATCAAATCGTGGCTGGAGCAGATCACCACCTAATGCAGCTTGGTCAAGGTCCAGGAAGATCACACTGCAACAGACTGTCCGCCTCCAAGGTCCTCTGAGGCTGCAGGCTCTGGGGCTTCTGCTGTCCTTCGGAGGGTGTCTCCTGGGTAGGGGTAGGGGAAGGAAGGGACCTTTACCCCCAGCTCTTCCCCTGACCTGCCAATAAAATTTTATGGCCCAAGGAATATATATCTATACACACTCACGTATATATTATATAAAAATATATTATAAAAATATATATTATATATAACATATCTATAAAACAAATAAAAATATAAAAACAACACATGATCATTGTAAAAATGTGGAAAACACAGCAAACTAATCAGAAATTCATAAATATCACCCCTGACTTTACCACTCAGTGAGATCCACATTACTTGCACTTTGTTGAATCTACTTTCCATTTGTTTCTCCATTACACACTAAGAAAGGTAAAAGCAGGGAATCCATCTTTATCTGGCTCAATGATCCTGGTCAGGCAAGGAGGCATTTAACACATGTGTTGAATGGATAGGATATAAGCATGGTTTCCTTATTATGTTTTTTTGTTTGTTTGTTTTTGCTTTTTTTGAGATGGAGTCTTGCTCTGTCACCTAGGCTGGAAAGCAGTGGTGTGATATCAACTCACTGCAACCTCCGCCTCCCAGCTTCAAGCAATTCTCCTGCCTCAGCCTACCGAGTAGCTGAGATTACAGGCACACCACCATGCCTAGCTAGTTTTTGAATTTTTAGTAGAGACGGGGTTTTACCATGTTGGCCAGGCTGGTCTTGAACTCCTGACCTCAGGTGATCCACCCACCTCAGCCTCCCAAAGTGCTAGGATTACAGGTGTGAGCCGTCGCCCCTGGCTGTTTCATTATTATCTTTTTCAAAACTCTCTTGTGCCTCAGGCTGAATTTATTGCATGCCGTAAAAATAGGCCCTCTCAAAACTTGGTATCTCTTGTTTTTTTTCAGGGCCTGCTCCTGTTTACCCTTTAATCTCCCAATTATCTTGTGAGGCTTCTAGGACAGACTTCCCCTGCTCTGGTGCATACTTGTAGAATGATAGAGTGGTGGATGTAGACAGGCCCAGGGAATCTTCTGTTCTCTTCTTTAGTTTCCAAGAGGGAAATACAAGGCATCCAGAGGGAACTAGATCAAAGTTATAGAGAAGGTTCTTAGTGGACACTGGACTCATCTTGAAACTCCTATAGCCCTCACCCCAGAACAGAACATCTAGAACCTGATGATATAGTCAATCTTGAGATATTCCTGTCCTTGTGTAGAGAAGTCAACTAGAGTTTAATTTATATCTCTACTTCAACTTATGAGGCATTTCTTTGCTGATACAAGGTCTGATTTAGATTTTTGTAGGCTTTCCTCCCCACTAACACTACAAAGAAGACTCCTTAGGGAGTCTCATAACTGTCACATTGGTCTCTGTTGACCTTAAGTTTACCTCTCAGAATATTCTGAGGTGCTTCATTTGCATTCCTTCAGTCTTATTTTTCTGTTTTTAGTATTACATGTTCTGTCATCTATATGCATTTTTTTGAGCATAGCCTTTAACGTAGGAATACAGGAAAGATCTGAAGAAGCTCAGTCAGCAGCCATGTTACGTAGTAATTCATGTTAGTGCTTGAAATTATTGTGTCAATTTTAATGGAATTGATATAGTTCTGGTATAAATCTGTGTTGTTTTAGTGCTCAGCTCTACAAAACACCTCCCGCTTAACAATTAATAAGAAACGTTCACGTTATGAGAGATAATCCTCTGAAGTATATTTTCAGTGTGGAAAGGCAGGGACAGTCCATCTTCCATTCATCCTGAGTCTTCTGTCAGTTGCCTCCTGTGAAGACGCCAGTTGCTCAGTGATCAAGATTACAGGCCTGATTCTCAAGGCCCAGAAGCAGCTAAGTGCATTAAAACACACACTTTGGGGGCTAAACAAACCACACAGTAATTCTGGGAGAGTTTTAGAAACATTTCTGCTTTGCAAAGTGCTTCAATCACATGATCTCCCATTTTTGTTTCTTTGTTATGCATTTTTTGCTTCTGATTATTTTAATTTACAATTCAAAACTATATTTTTATGATATACAACATGATGTTTTGAAATATGTATATATTATGAAATGGCTAAATCAAGCTAATTAGCATATGCATTACCCCACATATTTATTAATTTGTGGTGAGAATACTTGAAATTCACTCTCGGCCGGGCGCGGTGGCTCACGCCTGTAATCCCAGCACTTTGGGAGGCCGAGGCGGGTGGATCACGAGGTCCAAAGATCGAGACCATCCTGTTCAACACGGTGAAACCCCATCTCTACTAAAAATACAAAAAATTAGCTGGGCATGGTGGCGCGTGCCTGTAATCCCAGCTCCAGGAGGCCGAGGTTGTGGTGAGCCGAGATCGTGCCATTGCACTCCAGCCTGGGTAACAAGAGCGAAACTCCGCCTCAAAAAAAAAAAAAAAAAAAAAAAGAAATTCACTCTCAGCAATTTTCAAGTATACAATACATTGTTATTAATTATAGTCACCATGTTGTACAGTAGCAGCCGCTTCAATAAATGATGTTGGAAAACTGAATAGTTTTAGACCCTTATCTCACACTATATACAAAAATTAACTCAAAAATAAAGACTTAAATGTAAGATCCGAAACGGTAAAGCTACTAGGAAAAAAATTATGTTTCTAAGAATTTTTGTTCAATTTTTGTATTACTTTTCAATATGCACTTCCATATGATACGTGCATATCGTTAGTACTGCATTCAACTGTCAGGAAATTATAAAGTAAGGGGATATATATTAAGGGCCACATATCTTCAAACACATTATGCCCTTCAAATTACTTCCTCTCAATCCTAGCAATGACCGAATTTAATTTTCATGTGTAATGGGCGCTTTAAAAATAAAAGTGATACACAACAAAAGAAAACAAATCGGAAGAATGGGACGATGTCTCTTTTAACAGCAGGAAGCAGTTACAACACGGCTGTGACCATACAACATCAACTCCAGCAGCTGCCAACTCGCTAGCCAGGCGCGCAGGTGGTAGCCAGGCGCCCCCATTGCGCTTGCGCGCAGCAGCGGCGTTCCAAGGAACCCAGGCCGGCCGGGCGCTCTTCCCGTCCCAGTTTATCTAGGACCCTGCGCTCGCGCTGGCGGCGTCCCACCATAGCTTTCCAGCTTCGTTTTTTAGCCCTGGTATTCGCGTAGCGAAGTGACAATGGGGAAGGGAGCAAGTGGGACTGGCAGCGGCAGCCTAAGAGGCAGAAGGGACGAAAGGGGCGAGACCTGCGAGAGTTCCCCATGGAAGGAATTCCATTTTATGCCTGCAGACCTTGGGAAGCTGGTATTTCTCAGGGTGGAACTGCGGGGCGCCCTCCTCCCCAAAGCAGGGAGGACAGGAAGCACCAGACACAGGAGGTACCGCGGGCCCATTTCCCGCTCGCCACCGGAGTTCAGTTCCACAGAATTCGAACCCAACTTCCAAGAACCCACCACTGGCCCCTCTGGTTGGTTATTATGATTCACTAATTTTCTGTTTAAAACCTGCAGAATTTTCGCTTTGTCGGCACTTCTAAATACATACATATATATATATATATATATATATATATATTTCCGGTAACGTTATGGAACCTCCATGACCAACTTACCTACCACTCAGTCCCTTATTTGTAACGTCGTCAAATACATGATGCTTTAAAATTCTCAAAAACATGGTTGGCTCTTTGAACGCATTTGGGGCATCCCCTTTCTAGTATTGGTGTGTTAGACTTACTGTCAAAAACAGAATTACAGTGCAGTGTAAAAATATTGGTTATTATTTAGTCTTTTTCCCTCTCAGTAGTATACAGCATGAATCACAGGAGCATAGATCTGGAATTTTAACCTTGTTAATTAACATAATTTCCTCATCACTTCTGTGAGTCACGATCATGTGAAAACTGCTGAGAGTTAGACATAGGCACAATGCAACACACCTTTTCTAAATGGAGATGCCAGTGTCCTCCTTCCTACCCATCCCAATTTCTCTGGTGATTAATGGGTAAGAGTTTAAAACCTTGTAACTATTAGTGATGGGAGCTCGTGAAAAAAGTTGCTAATTTGAATTGGTTTGGTGCTCTATCAATTCAACTAATTCGCAAAATAATAATACAGATAATGCTGAAATATAACTTTTGCTGCCATACAATAGAAGATTGTGGGCCAGGGTAAGATATTTAAAGAAAGGGCCTGGAGTTTCCAGCTCCCCTCCCTCTCCCTGAAGAGAAGTTCAGCTGAAGGTGTCCCACTGTCTGCCCATCTTAGTAGGTGACCTTTGGGGAGGCCCCTTTACAGGGGCTGTCAGATTCCAAGGGACCTCCTGCCCGGGTTAGCTTCCACCTAACAGTCTTTTCACTGTTCAGTGCCCCTTGTAACTTCTTTTGCTGACCATAGGGCTTGGCCCATCTTCTCAGGCTTCCTGGAGCAGAAAAGGCATGAATGTTCCAGCTTCTCCTGTCCTGTGTCCAAACAACTGTCCTGATATTTTAAATATTTTGAAGACTTCCACCCTCATCATATAAATTACAGAAATAATTGGAACAATTCTACATCCAACTACATCCTTGGGTTTGAATTCTGGCCCCGTCACTTAACAGCTGTGAAAGTTTGGACAAGTTATGAAATAATTTCAAGCTTATTTTCTATATTTGTAAAAGGGCAATAGTAACAGTGCCTGTTTCCTAATGTTGTGGTGAAAACTGAATAAGATATTACATGTAAAGCTCTGATACATGAGCTATTAATAAGTATTATTTCCTTTATTTTGTTTTTTGCTTCACTTCCTAAAAGCTGTGTTATTTTGGACACAGTTCATTAATCAAATGGGAGGGGCAGGTAATAGTAGAATCTATTGTTGGTGTTGTTGTGAAGATTACATTAATGCGTGAAAAGCATTTAGAACAAGACTGGGCTTATACTAAATGGTAAAGAATGTTAACTAACTTTATTCCATACATTGATGTTTAGATCTAGACCCTTAATTAATGGTGGACACAGAAGGAACACAGAGTCAGTTCTCTTTTCTGTTTTCTATGTGTTCAGTGTGAAGAAAGGAGCACACAGACTTCCTTTGAGAACTCCGACTGCTGCTTTCTCTTCAGTGTCTACTATCTACTTCCAGACTGCTTTCCAGGCTCTTCCACTAGGTCTTGCTCTGACCTGAAGAGTGACTAAAGGAAGGTAGGATTAGTGTTTGTTTTGGCCCTTAATTGAGGACTGGAAGACATGCAGGGGACACCTATTCTGAAGACACAGAACCATCCTAAATGTATGGGATATGGAGTGATCTTGGGCTTTTGGTGTTCTTCAGGGACACTTATACTTCTCCCTTCAGGCTGACTGGTCATGGAAATCTATTTTCTAGTCTTTATTACTTCAGTTTGAGGCTCTAGCACTTGCTAAGTTCTTGAGAGGATGCATACTATTAAGTTTTCTGCAGTTAACATTCCTCAGTTCCTGCAGCCAGGATTGACTGAGCATCTGGTATGGAAGGTTGGGTATTAGAAGCCAGGTGTATGGTGAAGAGAGCCGATCTGGTAAGCCCCCCTTTACAGACATCAAAGGCATACTTCCAGCCATTTATTGGCATTAGCTTTGCAGATTATGTAATGGTGCAGGTACAGTGAACCTAATGCTGGGTTTTCATGAAGGAGAGAAGGCAGGCCAACCAGATGAGAGGGGTGAAAGAATGGTACCAAAAAGGTCTTTCTTGACATTTTTTTTTTTTTTTCCAGCTGGATTTTCACAGCTGGCTGCTTAAACGCCAGGTAGGGAATGAAAAACATGTTTCTCTTCTGCCACTTATCTAAAGTTTCCTAATTGAACCAAAGCATATATCATATATATTTTCTACAGCAGAACTCAGCATTTAGTCCAATGGCCTGCTGAAAGAGATAGCCCTTCACCTGGAAAATGCTGCTTCTTGCTCTTAAGGCTCAATGTCGCTCTCTATAGCTGTTTTGAAAATAGCATCACAATTGCTCACTTGGCATCAGGAATAGGGTGGTGATAGGGTTGATGAAAAAGAATGTGTTTCTACTATAAGTTAAAATATTTTTAAAATATTTAGATGTCAGATCTCCTTGGCTGCCAGATTCTTAGTTCAACTTTCTCCTTATTTTCACTAAAACTGAAGGCTTTTCTAAACACAGAAGGCAGAGTACCTCCTGACATCTAGCACTAGGTTTTTTACCCTATTGACTAATGCTTTACAGTTAAAACAGAATATATTTTGGCCATGTGGTTATCTGAGAAAAACTTTTGGTCATGTTTAGTATGTGGAAAGAATTTTTTTATCCTTTTTTAAGGATGGTGAAGGATGGAAATGAGAACGAGCTCCCTAGAAAAATCTGCAAGACGGCCTGTGGGATACAGATAGTTGCCTCCTAAATGTAGGCAGACTGCTGAGTGTTTTAGATCCAGTGATTACACAATCTGTTATAACATAAATAGATATCAATTTTAAGCTAAAAATGGATTTTGCTAGTGGGTCATGTGTAACAGCTCTCTCCAAATGAAAAAAAAAAATCTGATTGTAGTTAACTATGAGATATTTTAACAGACTAAAACTATAAAAAAGATTAAAGAATCTGTTTTCCATACAGTATATCTTTCTAAGCCACAACCAAAACCAAACAGCTATATGTGGATTAATTTCTTGAATAGTCCTGGGGAAGGTCACAGTTATGCTGGTGATTATATCTGTATAGAAATAGTTGAGAACTAACACACTTATTCTCTTAAAACTGTGTTTTTACTTTCATGGAAAATAACCCATTGCACACTGAATTGGTTTGTTTGGTAGACAAGATTTTAATCAGCACTATTGTAGGAGAGAGTCAAATTCTTGGCAGGGCCTGGAAAAGAGGGTCTGGGGTCTATGGATACTTCCATAAGTATACTTACCAGATTTAACATATAACACACAATATATATGGGAATTGCACAGTCTATTTGGAAACAGCAGTATGGCTAATATCCAAAGAAATGAGAGAAAGGCTTTGGCCTAAGTTCCTGGAACATTTGTGTGATCGCTGTTTTGAGTTTCAGGAATACTTTGGCAAAAGGTAAAGGGCTTTCAGAAAGACCACCTATCCCTATCCTACAGTGGTTTAGTTAAATAATTTATAATTTTCAGCTACATTTAATTACTTTTTCACCTTACTACTCTTAAAAATGCTATCTCATATTGAATAATGACATTGTGTTTATTTGCTGGGTAGATGAGTAAAGTCAAAATAAAGGCTTTAAGTTTGCAAATGTAGAAAACTGTTATTTAAACAATCAAAAAAGAAAGAAAATAAGAGGACTTGATTTATTATATAGCATTTAATTATACTATTTAGGAATGTTTTTACAATTTTAAAACAGAATTTCCTAACCTGGGTCTGTGAACTATAGATGAATTGTTAGGCTGCACAAGGTCTGTGAATTTACTGATATTATAAGCAGAATTTCAAATATGTGTGCATATGTGCTCTTTGTTGGATACAGATTTTTCTTACTTACATGAGATTGCCAATGATGTTCAAGAATTTTAAGAAACCAATTTAAAAACCACCAGTTTATAGGAGCCATGCATGCCAAATTTTAAGTAAAAAAAAAAAAAAATATGTAGACAATTTGTAAAAGTTGCAATAGAATTAATTTTCTCCTAAATGGTAATTGAAGGATATCTGAGAACATCTTTTCAAATAAATATTTTTCTTAAGGGATTATTACAAGCAGAGAATGCATTATGCTTTCTTGGCATATTGTACTTGATCCAATATTTAAGGCATGGAGTTTGTCACACTGAGTAGTGACATTCATTTGTAAAATTGATAGCATGAAAAAATAGAACAAACTTGCTATATCAGGGAACTGAATATTTGGATTATTGTATATATCATGTAAGAAACTTAGAATATTTGGTTTATTGTGTATATAGTGTAATAAACATGGATAATATTTTAAGAAATTTAGTGCATATCTCTCACTTTTGATAAGTACTTCAGTTTCCCAGTCACTTTCATATCTACTATCTTGTTGGAGCTTCACAACTAACTCATGCATAGATTGTAAGAATTATAATTCTCTTGATTTTAGATTAAGCAAAGTGAGGTTGTTGCATGGGTTCACCACAACTAATGAGTCAGATTTCAATTTAGATCTCTTGACTTCTAAAATTTTAGAGTTTTAAAATTGTAACTTATTCTTTCTCTATGTGTAACAATAGAAGCTACTATTCTTTTTTTTTTTTTTTTTCTTGAGATGGAATTTTGCACTGTCGCCCAGGCTGTAGTGTAGTGGCGTGATCTTGGCTCACTGCAATCTCCGCCTCCTGGGTTCAAGCAATTCTCCTGCCTCAGCCTCCCGAGTAACTGGCATTACAGGCCTGTGCTGCCATTCCCAGCTAATTTTTTTGTATTTTTAGTAGAGACAGGGTTTCACCATGTTGGCCCAGATGGGCTTGATCTCCTGACCTTGTGAACTGCCCGCCTCGGCCTCCCAAAGTGCTGGGATTACAGGCGTGAGCCACTGTGCCTAGCCGAAGCTACTGTTCTTTAATAACTTAGAGGGCACTCTCAGGATCACATGTTGATTGTTACTATGACTGTTGTTATCACTACATAGTTCAAAATAAAACTTCTCATGATTTAAGCCTTCTGATAATTTGGAGTCTAAGCATGGTGATAAACACTATCACAGGATTGTTTTCTAATAAAAGTGTTGGTTAACAAAGTTCACTTTGCAAGTGGCAAGTTTCCGACTCTGTCATAGTCATATGAATAAAATCATTACTGTCATCATATAGTTCCCATATTAAGCACTCTAGCTCATATCCACATTTTGTTTATATGCCATATATAACAAGAAAAGATATTCATCTCTGCAAAAAGAAGCATAAAATAAATATATTTATGGAATAAGGACATTAGAAAAATTATCAGATGATTTACATATGGATATTCTGTATTATAAAATTTTAGGCTGTGTGCAGTGGCTCACACCTGTAATCCCAGCACTATGGGAGGCCAAGGCAGGTGGATCACAAGGTCAGGAGTTTGAGACCAGCCTGACCAACATGGTGAAACCCCATCTCTTCTACAAAATACAAAAATTAGCCTGGCATGGTGGTGAGTGCCTGTAATTCCAGCTACTTGGGAGGCTAAGGCAGGAGAATTGCTTGAATCTGGGAGGCAGAGGTTGCAGTGAACCGAGATCATGCCACTGTGCTCCAGCCTGGGCAACAGAGTGAGACCCTGTCTCAAAAAAAAAAAAAAAAAAAAATCTAAGTTTGGTTCAAAATTATTGACTGAGTGTTGACATTATCAGGCACTGTGTTGGGCTCTAGGCATACAATGGTAAATATGATGAACCCTGATACAAGTTCTCAAGGAACTTGTGTTTAATGGAGAATTGGGACTCTAAGATCTGGATTGTGTCAAGTGATTTTTTTTTAATACACAATATTTGTATAGTAAATCTGTGTGAATTTGTGGAAGCCAGGACATCAGGATATTGGTAGAGACCTCTTTCTAGTTTCATGTTGTGGATGGAAGCTAGAGAGTTCATGTTTGGTCTTTCCAGATGCCTGTCCTTTGTAAAGAAGGAAACTTTTCCTATTTGGGTTAATAAGTTTTCTGATATGATCTTTCAGCAGGGATTTGATAAGCTCTTACAAGAGTCACAGAGGAAAATTAAAACATAAGTGTGTAATCATTCTAAGGCAAATTACAATTTTCTACAAGTTAGAGATACCATGACTTTTGACAAACCCTTCGAACTTAATGCAGCCTTAGGTTTCTTCAACTTATTACATAAATTAAATATATTTTATCTGTCTGCATTACAGGATTGTGATAGCTCTCTGGATAGTTTAACAAATGTATACTAATGAATAATTGCTGAAGATTAACAATTTGCTTTCTCATTTTTGGCTTATAGTTTTATTTTCTAAAAAAAAGGATCAAAAATTTATATTCCTTCCCAAACTAAAAAAAAAAAAAAAATCCCAGATTTTTAATTTATTGATAAAATTTCATTACTTGGAAAAAATTATTAAATATAGACTTGTTAAATTTACCTTTGTTGTTGGTTTATTGACAATAATTGGAGGGAAAATAACAGCCTTATTAAGTTATAATTTACAGGTACATGCAGTCAAATTAATGCTTTGTAAGTGACAAATGATTTTT